TTCATAAGTCGCAAAGAATCTTCGTCGTTCAAGCTCAGATCACGCTTTGCTATGTTTTCTATAATTTTTCTTTGTCGGCATAAATTCTCAGCAGACCTAATAAATCTTCGTGTATGAAAACATTCAGCATTTTTAACCAAAAAAATAAAAAGCCGACGAATAAAATAAAAACAGTATTCTAAATGACACAAGAATTTGTTACGCTTTAAAGTGTTCGATATTTAAATAAAATATTTTTTTTTTTATTCTATTTTATGCAAAAATAATTTTATTATCTATGTTGCCTTGAATTGCGCTCGCCGTCGTAACACAATTTTGTCCCAAAATAATTTTAATCTAGAAATGTAAGTAATGGCTGCCTAGGGGTGTTCGTTACGAAAATGTTACTAAGTTACCTAGTAGGTAGCGTAATTTGTAGGAATTGCTATGTTTACAACCTTGGCTGTCTTTCGTTGTTTATGATACCAATTTCAAAACATATTTTTCAAATTTTGTTATTTTCTTCTAAATGTTCTGAACCGAAATTATTAATCTATACCTGTTTCTATTGTGATACTTAGGAATAGACCCGCATACAATACCGTAATGTGTGGGAGAGCCATGCTTCAACGCGAATAGGCTTCGGCCTCACAGAATCCCGGCGGACTTACGTTGTGTTTCAACGTGTTAGTGAGGTTTCCAGAGGCCCTATTCTCCCCCCATCCCCCATCCCCAATCCCCAAATCTCATAACCGTAGTAGTGACTCCTATGGTATTACAAGTATTCATGGGCGGCACCGATTGCTTACCATCAGGTAATCGGAGAACTCGTTCCTATAAAAAAGTCATACTAGTCGAACAGAAGAGAATATAGAGAGAGACATACCTCGTAGAAAGGGTCAATTTGGGATAGCTTGACATGCACCTGTATGTATATGTATATACATAAATGTAAGTAGGTACATAGCTACTGGCTGGTGGTTTACCGGCAAAGTTGCAAACATTAACAAAGCGCTCACACACTAATAAAATATTCAGCTAAATACTCTTGTTTGTACGCACCATGCCTACGTTTATGTACTCCCGTTATGTATTTTTGATAGCGTTGTTTTAGTAGGTACGCCAGTTTTTGTTGGAATATTTTAACTGAATTTTAAAAATTGTAATTTTGTGCACAAATTTTTTTTGTTTATTTGTAAATGTTGATAGTGGTAATCGCTTGTGAGTTTCTTTTTTCAAATAGTTTTTTTTTGCAAGCTTTATTAAATCTAAAAAGTTTTTATTTAATTTTTGTAAAATTGTGATAACTACTTGGTACTTCATACCTTATTTTCACTTGAATAATTTGTTTGGATAGATAACAAAAATAACATAAACATTTAAGATAACAACTTTTACTATAAGTTAGCAAGCATAAAAATAATAAAGGTAAAGTTCCCAGTTTTGCAACACGAATATTATATTATTTTCAGTAGACTGTATAAACCGTCTAGAACGTTTCCGTTGCCCCAAAATAAAATTCATTAAAAACTAATTTTGTAATACTCCCGCCAATTTAGAAAATAACATTACTTGGCACTTAATAGGGTTGTTGTTTGGAATAATTTAATAATAGCTTTTACTCGAAGCTGCTATTAGATTATTTATATTTCGAACTATAAGTTCATCAAAATTAAATAAAAACCTAACAATAATAATAAATTGAAGAAAAATACTGACCGAAAATAAAAATAAATGTCTATGGAATTAAATAAAAAATTATGAAATGCGATTTGCTTCTTTTTTCAATTGTTTCAATAAATTCAAGTTCCATAATTTATTTTTTTGTCTGTTTCTTAAATTATTCGATACTAGATTAATTTGTTTCCTATTATACGTAACATGATAAGGTGCGAGGTATGTAGTAATCATTCTATTTTCGGTTTTTGGTAACACTAATAATTTTAAGCATCACCATAGGTAAAACAAAAATGTCATTTTTGTGATATGAGGACAAATGGTACACGAATTGCCTGATAGTAATTCAATGAATGGACATTCGATGCACCAGAAGAGTTACGAGTAGGTACGTTGCCGGCCTTTTGGGGAGTACGGTTTCGGAGATATCGGGATTGCGAGAGCTTGGCTCTCCCATACTTCGTCTTTATCCTTTTTTGAACTATTCCAACGGTAGGTACATAACGTTAAATTAGTGTTAACCTTTCAATCGTAATAATTCGAGACACAATTGAAGAACAATAGGTGCGCAAACGCGTTCGCTTGGGATTTGATGAATATAACCGCCTCCGCATAAGTTCCTGATAAACTTAATTTACGCATAGTTCATACAACTAGCGTTCTATATTCAAATTTATTCAGTACGTCGTAACTGTTGAAACATTGTGAAGCGGTCTCTAACAATTTTTATGGTGAAAATTAAACCAAAAAAAAAATACATGAATAACTATGTTGTAATTATCACTTTTCCAACTATCCCAACAGTATGTAAACAAAGCATTTTTGTATAGTATAATTCGTCAAACGAGCAGACGGATTACCTGATGGTAAGCCGCCTGTGGACACCCGCAACACCAAAGGAGTTACGAATGCGTTGCTGGCCTTTTGGGGATAGGGGTTGCGGATATTTTTTGGGGATAGGATCAGGAAGGGATAGGGGAAAGGTCGGGATTGGGCCTCCGGTAACCTCATTCACACGGCGAAACGCAATGCTCTGGTTGTTTCACGCCGGTTTTCTGTGAGGCCGTGGTATCACTCCGGTCGAGCGGACCCATTCGTGACGAAGCTTGGCTCTCCCACAATTCGTTCACGCATTCATTGTGTTGTAACCTTCACTAAAATGTTTTGGACAATAACAAACACATTACGTTTTTATTGGAAAAAAATGTCGACAACACTTTTAAAACAAAACTGTTTGTAGTTAATACTTGCGGCGTAGTTTCGTGACCCACTTAAAAAAAAAAAACAATTTTATTTTTCTTCATTTTGTAATATTTTCTTCAGCTGTTGTTTACTTTCTCGTAATTTTGTTTTCGTCGTTGAGTTTTTGTAAACAACTGTTTCTATAGGCGATTGGGTTCGATATAACTAAGCTTGTTAAAGGTACAACGAAAAATATTACAGCAGTTTAACGGTTGGCGTGACTACTAAATTGTATTTTGTTTGGTGATTAAACAATGGTGTAGTTAAAAGTTGTTATAAATGCTGTGTCGATAAATGTATAGCTACCAACCTTCATGTTGTACTAGCTTCTACCAGCTTTGCCCGAAATACCAGTGGAAAAATAATCTATGTCAAAGTCAAAATCTTTTATTTCAATTAGACCACAATAGGCACTTTTGAACGTCAAGCAAAAAAGGGAAAAAGTATATCAAGAGCTTTAAAATTAAACATATCAGTCTGTCTGTCTGTCCTCTAGTGAAGCTATTTGCTCGTTCCAAAGTGTAGATTCCTATAGAGAAGAACGACCAAGAAACTCTATGGTTACTCTCTGTGGTTACTCTTTTTCAATCAGTTTTACAATACATTTCTTTGTTACATCATTTAGTCGGTTCTGATATGTGAGAAGAGTGTAACACTAATGACAAGGCAAAAAAAATATTTATGTTAGACAGTAAACTATCTTTGTGCCAAATTACATTAAGATCCGTTAAGTAGTTCCAATCCGTTCACGTGAAAGAGTAAAACTTCCACCCATCCCATACTTACAAACTTTTGCGTTTATAATAAAGTAATGGCTTCGCACGGGTGTAATTATGTTACAAAATCGCCACTATTTAAAAGATGTTATTATGCATAGGTATAAACCTTCCTCTTGAGTCACTCTGTCTATACAAAAAAGCGCATCAAAATCTGTTGCATAGTTTTAAACTATGCAACGGACCTTGATGCGGATAAATTAAACTTTGAATACCAGTATTGATTTATAATATTTTTTATGTAATAGATCGGCAATCGAGCAGACGGATTACCTGATGGTAAATAATCAGCGCCGCCTATGGACACCCGCAATGGAGAAGTTACGAGTGCGTTGCCGACCTTTTAGGGTTTAGGGATTGAGGAGGGATTGGGTCTCCGGTAACCTCACTCACACGGCGAAACACAAAGCTGTGGTTGTTTCACGCCGGTTTTCTGTGAAGCCATGGTATCACTCCGGTCGAGCCGACCCATTCGTGCCGAAACATTGCTCTCCCACACTTATACTTATACACTATATAATTAAAGATCTCAGCTATAAATCATTTTAGATTTCAAATAAATCCTTAAATAAAATTAAAAACAAAAATTCGCTTACCTTTTTACGTTCTTTCCTTCGGATTTGTAGAAGACAATCCTAAATTCGTATCCTTCGTTGAAATAAAACATTTTCCTATTTCCTTATCCAGTTACTTAAGACAGGTAAACGGTGATGTGGTCACGTAGCGTGTCTCGGTATCTTTTCGGAAATATCAGAAGACATCCCCCCTAGATAACACGAGTCAATTCGGCCCCGAGATCCCATCAATAAACATTTATTACACTAATAACGTTTAAGGCGAAAATCTAATTTGTATCAATTTTCTTAAGGGCATCGACCGAATTCTTAGAATTTGAGTAAGGTCGGTAACCGCCGTCTGTTTAACAACTAAGACCTTTTTATTATACTTAATAGGTAACCCTGCGGATTTCGTGTCAAATTCTTTGCGTTTTGAAAGTTTATCAGAGTAAATCATTAAAATTTCGAGGCGATTAAGGTGTTTTTAATTCCTTTCAGGTTAAATTAGAAGGTCAATAACCTCTTTTTGTTTGTTTAAGAAAATGAAAAGGTGAATCACAATGAAAGTAATGGAAAGAAGTTTGCTAACCCTTTTTGGGAATTGCCTTTTTGGTTCTATCTAAATGTTTATACCTTAAAGATTGTCTTTCAATAACCCTTCAAGTCCAATCTCGAGATATTAATTTTAATAATATTTTCACAAATTCATTACAGAAACAGAAACGCGGTCAAAATTTTTTGTGGTCTAACCATTTTTCCTTTTCTGCAGATCACGGTGTTCCGAATCCAAGAGCGGGCTGAAGGTGGTGAAGTACAGGAGCTTGACCAGGTTATCCTGACGGCATTGTTTAGGGCCCAGCACCTGTCTCCTAGCGAACAGCTATCCTTGGCACTAACATGGAACCGAGTGGATATCGCCAGGTCCGAAATCTTCGTGTATGGACAAGAATGGCCTCCAGGTAAGAGAAAAATTATTCTAAGGTACCTATTAATAATGTTTCTTCAGATCAGTTTACAGAATCCGTCGCCCAGTAAGAGGCTAATCATATACATATATTTTTTAAAGACAATATTGCCCTACGTTTGTTTTTTTATTTCCCGTGGCAGGAGTGCGTTTACAAACATACACAATTACATTCTCTGGAAATGCCCCCGGGCATTTTGTTGGCAATCTTAACTTATAATTCCACTGGTGTAGCGGGTGTTCATGAGTAATGCTGGTGTATTACTACCAGGTTTGCTTATTCAGTTCCATATTTCTTAGAGTGAAGATAAAAGTTCAGTCAGACAAATTAAATCTTCAGGAGATCAAAAACCTCTACTAAGTATTAAGATTATTATTAAAAACTTCACCTTTAAAAGTTGGTTGTGGTTAGAATACTTTATTTACGAGGTATAAACAACCTTTTTACATTCCAACGTAATAAAGTATCTAGATTCGTAAGTTTTCATTTGGTTCAAAGAAGCTTCATTCTTCTTTAATTTATGTGGTGGAGTATACCTCTGAACTTCAGCTATACTCAAAGAATAGTCAGAAATTGTAATAAGTTACAGTTCAGAATTTGTGGAAGAAATTGTACCTATGTGCAAAAAATACTGCTTAGATGAATGAAGTCGATAACTGGAAACATAATAAAATACATAAGTACAAAGATTTTACTAGTATTTCTTACAAGTTAAAAATACGTTATATTTTCAGAAATACTTATACTTAAGTACATAAATATATTCAAACATCGAAGCTGATCAAACATTTCGCTGTTGATAGGTTAGCTACCATTGGGTAAAGCCAATGAGATGCCAGTAACATGCTATTGAACGCTACCCATAGGTACCCTCAACGCCAAAGGAGGCGCAAATAGTTACCGGCCTTTTAACGGTTGGGGATTTAAGAATCGGAAATTTTGTATTGGGATGGGGGAGGATTGGGCCTTTGGCAACATCACTCATTCGACGAAACACAACTCACGCATTCCTTCACACCATTTTTCTGTAAGGATGTGGTAAAACCCGGCCAGGTCGAAGAAAAGCATAACACTCCCACGTTTAAAACAATTTATGTTTCAAAGATAACACTTTAAATGTTGATAGAAGACGTTGAAGACGCGTTACCGTCGACTAAACAACAAAGGGTACCTAATATCTTGAATAGAAACAATGTCTTAAAGCTAATAAGTTTCAAAATTATTTATGTAACAACGCCTCAACAAGAGAGTTCCTGAAATCGTTTAGCGAAGTATTTAGTCAGGGTACAAAATTAGTTACAACACAATTATCCGCTCGAAACATAAGCTTAACATACGAAATTTTAGTCTTAGTGCAGGTTAACGAAAATCTTCATTAGTACTCTTTGATTATATAGCTTATTTACTTAACAGGGTAATTAGAAACTAATTTACTGAGATATTGAATTGTCACATGATTAAACAAGGAATACGAAGTACGGTAACCTAGTATCATAGTATTCTCAATAAGTAGTAGATTGTAAAAATAATAATCATTATGTACCTGTTTAATTTTTTTTACTGATAGTAAGCAATCAGCGCCCATAGATACAAGCAACACCAGAGGAGATGCGAGTGCGTTGCCGGCTTTATGGGGAGTTTCAGGAATTCAAAGATTACGGAGGAATGTGCGATGGGGACGGATTGGGCCCCAAGTAACCCTACGCTGGCGAGACTCAACATTGTGGTTGCTCCACGCCGGTTTCCTGTGAGGCCGTGTGTCTCACCCGGTGTTAATTTTCCTTCATAAGTGGGTACTGAAAGTTTATTCAGTATTAGTAAAGCTGTATACAATTTTAAAGTTAAATTATAATATTTGATAACAGAATCTCTTGCTTGCAAACACATAACACAATGCAAATAAAGTCCTTTCATCCTAAAGTCTCAATCGCAAACAAAATTAAATCAAATCAAACAAATAAACTTGAATTGGTCTGTATTTAAATGCCGTGGAAGCAAAGTCTAAAGGGGTGTATTCATTAGCAGGGACTAGCAACTTAACTGTTTGCAAACAAATTACATTTTGCTCCCTACACTCGGGTACTCGGTACTAAATAAATTCATAGACCCCGACCCTTATTGGGACTGCGTGTGGAAAATGATATACCGTCATATTGGGATTTGAATTCGAAGGGACAAATTGTCACAAATATTATTTGTTTGGGGATACCGAATGAAAATGTGGACTCCATAATGTCCAAATCCATACAGAAATCTAGAACTTTTTGATCTAAATCTAGTAATTAAGTAATTATTTGTATATGAACTTATCCAGACCGAGGTTGTTTATACTTATCCTAAATTACAGCTTAATCCAAACTGTACAGTGTACATATTATAATATCTTCACAAATACCTTTTTTATCGTCAAGGTCTTGTTAATCAGCGGGGGTCGCGGTTGCCGGCTTTATAATGTACCAAGCCCCGGCGCGGAGAAGGAAATGGAAAGGGGAGGTTTTTAGTCACTAAGAGTCTGACACTCTTTCGCCTCAAACAGAGAGCGATAGAAGTCATGTGATCATTGTCCACTCTAAAAAAACGATTAATGATTAATTAACGTACACCACTGCAGTTTATCGAAATCAAAGGCTCATGATATTTTTTCAAAATTCACCATAGTGATAACAAAACTTACGTGGTTATTCTAAAATCAGAAGGTTACACCTTAAAGCCTTTATACAGAAAGTTTATTGTGTGCTTGAAGTTCATACCTAATAAGATTTTATGTCGATATAAACTTTGCTACAACTTACCTATAAGGCTAAGAACTCACGGAGCGATTTTGAACCGTGCCCGCCGCGGTAGCGAAACTGCGGTTTTATTTCCAAACTCACGAGACCGGTTATTTGCGCGGTTACACAGCCGCCGCGGTTGCGATCATCGCCCGCAAACGTGGCGGGCGATGATCGCAAGATTGCAAGACGGGCTGTTAACGATCAGTTGAGGTCCAGACCGCCATGGACACACACCAGAAACGAGTCGTTGCGTTATATTTACTTCACAGAAGACCCGCCGCCCCCGCGGTCGCTCACCAACCGATCGCAAAGCGCGCGGGTGCCACCCGCCGAGGCTGCGGGTAACCGCGGCCCGCGCGATTCTACTAGTTGCCCGCCGGTACAGCGGGAGCCGCATACAACCGCGTACACCGCGGGCGTAAAACGCGTCGTGAAATGTGCTTTAATTTTTTATATAAATATTTGAATTCTACAGAAGCTGCGGGCCCGCAACCGCAGCGGACGCGGGCGAAAATCGCTCCGTGAGTTCTTAGCCTAAAACATCTAAACTATACCGAAAGCTACTATAGTTTGAAATTAGTTATGTCTCACTTAAGGTCTCCCCAATATTATTACCACTTATGCTTAGGAAATTTTGCACCTGCCACCTCGGTCTTAATCATGATTTTACTATCGAAAACTCACTAAAGTAAGAATTGATTACCAATTCTACCAAACTGTGTCGCTATTATATCTATGTTTGAAATAAGGACCATATTAACACACTCCCGTATTGAATCGCTCATTTTCCCATGATTAATTCATGGGTGAATGAGTAATTATCATTATTATCATATGATTAATTCATTAGGAGACAATAGATAAATTCATACCAATATTAGTTTCATTGTAATCAAGAATTGACAAATACTAATAAAAAGAAATCCCAATTAGACCTCGATTTGACTCGGATTTCAAGCTTTCATTATGAATACTAAAAGGCAATGAATGAAACAAGCCAGCTATCTTCGAAGGTAAATAAAAAATCCGTAGAATTTAGCTGGCATTTTGTTATGTATCGTAGGTGTGTTTCCAAACATATAACTTTACATACACATCACACCCAGACCCGGAAAATTTGTGCATCACACAAAGACTTGTTCTGTGCGGGAATCGCACGCGTAACACATTTCGTGGCAGCCGGAGGTTGGACACCTCCGCGTCAACTGTGTATTTCTATGTATGTATGCGAGAATTATTTAAATTTGTAGCGACCCACCCCGGTTTTGCACAGGTACAACGCTGATACAAAATATATCCACTGGTCATTATTATACATTTCGTACGTACCTTTCCAATCTCTATTCACTAAAAAATTCGCACCAAAATCTACTGCGTAGTTTTAGTAACGTGAGATTACGACGTACATGTTATGTACTGTGTAGCGAAGTCACAAGAGGAATGGTATCACAAAAAAAATCTGTCCCATCCATGTGAAATAAAAAAGATCACTGTTATGAAGGCGTTGTATGATTTATGACGAAGCCCATACTTTATTTTTCATGTCGTCTTTTTGGTATTTTCTTCAAAAAATTAAAACGAAAGGCAGAACCATACTGTATGTAAAACAGAGATGATTCACATTGATACTGGACTGGCTGGTGTTGATGCATTGACTGTGCAATTGGCTGCATTGCAACGTGTCTTATGTTCGATTCCTGTACGTAACAACATTTTGTATCATTCACAAATCATTATTCCAATTTTGGGTGTAAATCTGTGTGTTTCTGTTCTACTAAATAAAACTGAATTCAGTATTCCAATACCTACATTTCTTAATCACATTTTTATGTTTAAAGGTTATTTTCCTGATACTTATGTCTTTTAAGTAAAGAATTTGCTTTAACAATTTTCGTACTGATCAACTACATAATACCCTTGTGTTGTAGATATTAAATATGAGACACGTGTAAGCGCGGTTATCGGAAAACGAAATAGCTTTTGTTGCTCGTCCTCTAGAGATATCCTCTATTTTCTGATAGGAAACTATTCTATTTTTCCTGTAACACTGTTGAGTGTTGTAATTATAATAGTAAATGATCATCGGAATGATCATATAATTTCTTTATCAATATAGCAAAAACTTTAGTCTTTTTAAGAGAGCTCAATCAATCGTTTATTGCTTTAAGTATCTGAAAGTTTAAAAAAATACTATTTATTCCAATTTCTTTCTCAGCAAAG